AACAATACTTACAAATTTAAAAATAGAAATTTTTGATCAAATTTTACTTATTTTTTATTTAAATTAGATTAATCTACAAATGAAATCTTAAAATACTAGTGTGAAAAAAAAAATAGAACAATAAAAAATAAAGAAAAAAAATTATCGAAACCAAAAGCAAAAAGATTTTAAAACATTTAAATCTAAAATTTAATACAAGATTTAAAAATAAATAAATAAAAAAGTAAAAAAGAGATATTTTAGAATACCTCATCAAATCATTATCCTTTCTCTCTCGGGCTCCATGCTAGTTTCGAACCGAGGACTTCAAGCTAATAAGTTTATAAGCCAACCAGCCATCAAGTCTCTCGGAAATCTGGCACTAGTTGTAGCAACAATAAATTAGTTAAACACTCATTGTCTGCTTGCTCCCCTATCATGACAATTCTTGGTGCAGCCTTTATATCATCTATATTATTAATAAAAAAATTATTTTATTTGGTATAGATATTTTTTTTTAAAAAAATTGTTCTTATATATAACTAATCTTTTAATTATTCATTCTCTTTTAACAGTTTTTTAAAATTATTCTTACATTTACAATTATTCAAAAATAATTAAAATTTTAATTATTAATCACTCACTTTTATTTCATTTATATATTTTTTTTTACAAATTATACATCGACATGAAATATATTTTTTACACTAATTATTTATATATCTAATGATATATACACTTATATTAATAATACACCTCTATTATATATTTTTTAAATATTTTTAATTTTTCAACTTCATAAACCCTTCTGTTTTAAGGTTCATTTCTTTTTTCAAACACTCACTTTCACTTTCACACACCTCCTTCTTGTCCTTTGCCTTCAATGTTTTTTCAAACACTCACCCTTGATATTTTATATTATGATAGAGAGTTATTTTTAATTATTAATTATTTATTTTAAAAATATTTAAATTTAATTTAAAAATAAAAAATGGTAATTTGTGATTGGTTTCTATGTCTTATCTACCTGTAATGAGTATTCACCTAGTTCTAGGTCGCGATCAAATATGTGACCTCCAAGCAATCTGTATCACAAATCAAATACTTGAAACCTCTATCCCAACACTTGGTAAGGGCGATTTTAATGGCAAGGAGCTCAACCAAGATAATAGGATATGATCACCCTTCTCCACAGATTGTGAGAAACTATAGAGTCATCTTTCAACACTTTCGCAAATAACACCAGTCCTCATATATCAATGTTAAACTTCACAAACTGATTTCTAGGGGGAGTTTTCACCCTAGTGAAGGAAGTCAATATTCCATTTCTTATTAAAAAGAATCATGTTGTTTCTCCATCTGCAAGTATTAGAGGATGAATATACATATAATTGTTAAGAGATGTTGTTGTAAACACTAAAATAATTATAGTATAGAGTTACTTTAATATAATGACCGTCATAGTCATCACACTTATGGATGACAACTACAAACAATGGAATTATAACTACTACTTAATATTATATACTCACAATTTCAGGGTATGTACACTATAATAGGTATATGTGTGGATATTAACTAAAACAATTATACAAGTATATGTATAGTAATTCAAAACATACAAAACATAAAATTCTAAGTTGTTGGTTAAGTAACGTCTATATAGATCAACAAAAGTAGTCGTCGGTTACATCGCCAACAACATGGCCTCATTGCAGCTCCAAAAACTCTCTCTCTAGCTAGCCTTGCCCTACTCCCATGAAAATTATGATTATTGTAGTCCTAATCACATGAAAAATATGCAAGGATAAACTAGATTCCAAAAGAATCAACATATTTATACAATATTGCAACATGACAACATGTCAACTTAAAAGCATCAAGCAATATAATAACTTAACTTCGGGTCAACGTTTCAACTTTAAACATAACATCAACTAAGACAACACTCCATTAATCAACTTTGAATAGTTGATGCGTCATCACGCATATTAAACTATGGAAACCTCCTACAACTTAAGGTGAGCAGTTTAAGTGTTAGACCTTACCAAATCATAACGACAAATATGAAACCAAAAATAGTGACTGACACTAAGATCAGAAACAACGACCAACATTAGTCAGGAACAACAACTAACATAAATCTAGAAATAATATACAATTTCACATCTTAATTATCTTCAACTTACAACTTAACATATCTACTTCTTTACAACTTAAACATCTTTCATCTTACAAGTTAACAACTTTATATCTTTACAACTTAAATATCTTTCATCTTACAATTTAACATCATAACTCATCTTAAAATAAATAAACTTACATCACACAACTTAATACACATTTAGCATTTATCAACTTACAACTTTTAACTTTAACAAGTACAACATTCTATCAATATACTACTTTACATCATGTAATTCATCACATACAACATTAACTTATAAACTTCGTGGGTGTCAACATATAGTACCATTGTACAACTTAAACATAACAACATGTTTAACTTTAACATATTATGACTTAATACAACTCAAACATCAATTAACTTACAGCTTTCAACATGGGCACCATCACACATTATCCATCATGCAACTTATAATTATCCTTCAACCATCAATATATAAAGAAATACATTCAAATTTCCAACATGTATAATGTAAACAATCAAAAACTAGCTTGGAGCTACCAACAACTAGCTCGAAACTATCAAACACTTAACTCAAAGTTACCAACAACAAACTCAAAGCTACCAAACACCTAGTTCAGAGCTATCAATACCCAACTCAGAGCTACCAAACGCGTAGCTCAAAGTAACCAACAATTAGCTCAGAGCTGCTAGACACCTAAATCAAAGCTACCAACACCTAGCTTTGAACTACCAAACACCTAGATCGGAGCTACCAACATCTTGCTCGAAATTGCCAAACACATAACTTAAGGCTACCAATTCCTAACTTGGAGCTATCAAACACCTAGCTTAGAGTTACTAACACCTAGCTTAAAGTTACCAAATACCTAGCTTAAAGCTACCAAACATCTAGCTCATAGCTACCAACACCTAGCTTAAAGCTACCAACAACTAGCTCAAAGCTACTAGATAGCTCACTCAAAGCTCACTTTCAACAGCCAAAATTTGTTTAGAGCAACCAAAATTCGCTCTAGCGACACAAGTTAGAAAGTATCTCTGAACATCCACCTAAGCTCACTTTAAGTGACCTTTATGGACGCTTTAAGCAACCAAACCCGTAAAACATGCATGTATTTGAGAAAAACCAATAACTCAAAAACAACCTCAAATCCTCTCAACCCATACAAACAATACATCCATGCAAACTCATAATCTTTCAATTATAACAATTTGCAACTCATAAATTGAAGAAAATGAGACATGCAACAACAACACACCAATTTGTCATCATCAATCCTCCCATTCTTCACCAAGAATATCCAAATCCACAAAATACAACACCCACCTCCAAAGTCAAACATATCGGCAAACATGCAATAAGAATCAAGGTACATGTAGCACCACAATCTACTAACAATCAAATTTTAGTTTTCCTTACCTCTCAGAGAACCAAGTTAGCAAGAAGAGGGGAAGAGAGGAAAATTCCATACAACTTCGAGATGAGATCTCAACTGCACCAACTTTGATCTCAAGGTTAGCCACTTGATTCAACTGCTAATAAAAAGAAAGGGAAGATCTTCAGAAGGAGGAGGAGAAGAAAATGTTTTGATCCTCTCTACTTTCTTGCATATTTCTAAAAACATGAAGTTACGAGTCTCATTCTCAAGAAAACACCCTATAAATACTTAAAGCTAAACCGACCTAATTAACATCAACTTATCACTTAACCACATAACCAAAGTATGCAACTCAAAAAAATAGTGTCACGTTTAACACAAAAATAAAAAAAAAAATTAATGTAAGAGTAATGATTCATATACATATATATTCACACACAAGTCATGATGAAAAAAAAAGTTTTTTCTATAAAAAAATCTTTTAAACACTCCTTATATTATATTTAAAAATATTCTAAATAATCAACTATATAAATGAAGAAAAAGAACAAACAAAGATGTGAATGAGGTAAAATTTATATTTTTAATTTCTTGATTTCTCACGAATAGAAAAATGTAAAATGTTTAAGACATGTATTTAAATGTAGTGAAAATGCAAAAAAATATGTATTTTTATTATATTATATAGATTAATAAATCAACCTAACATTCCTAATAATTTTTTTTATAAGCACAAGTCTAGTATTTTAAAATAATATTTTAAGTTTAAACGATTTTTTTTATTAAATAGGTTAGACTAGATCATTATTTAAATATTTTTGGTCATATGTCTCTCTTTAAAGACATACCTACTCCCATCCCAGTGATTACCAAAACTTATACTTTTTTATAATAGGAGAATAATTATCACTTTTTTGAGGAGTTCACCACTGAATGACATTTCTTTTATAGTTATATCATATCACAATAACATGAAGTTAAAAACAGAAATATACATCAATAATTTCGTGCATTTTTTTAATTGTAGAAATTAGTTCAAATAATAAAGAATAAATTTTAGCATATAAATGAACTAACATTATAGAAAAGGGTGGTAAGTAAAAACTAAATTATAAAATAAGAAAAATGAGTGTTAACTAATAAAATAAAATGCGTCATTTTAACAAACTTCAAAGGAGATTTTTAGCAATTTCCCTTTTATAATAGCTACAAATTATTAAATTGTTAATTTTTCTTACACCAAAATTATTAAATTGTTATTTAAATTAAAGTTTAAAACAAAAATGATGACATGGCATTTTAAGAGTAGGGAAATGAGGTGGCTTATTGTTATTGGTATGCATTTCACACATGCGGCCACGTAAACAGAAAGTGCAGTGCTAAAATCCACGTGTAGAGCGGTTATTGGAGAAGCTACGTGGTCTGACATGTTGAACATTGTAGGAAAAAGCTACTGGCTGTTAGGTTTCTCTACGGTTTATCATTTCATTTCATTTATTTATAAAAACAAAATAAAACAAAAAGGCTCGGTGTGGCGATTCAGACAAACAGTGCCCTCGACTTGTTCCTCCGCGAATGTGACACAACCAAAAAGGATTCGGAAAAGAAAGATCGCAATTCGCAATGCTTAATGTGATGGGTTTCTGTGGATTGCTCTACACATTCTTCATACTCAATTTTGTTTTGGTCTGCCAACTAATTCTCCTCCAACCTCTCGTTTCTGCTTCTGGTACACCCTGATCTCTTTCTATCGATTCATTTCTAATTGTTTTTTCTCTCTCCTATCGTGATTTGGTGTTCCTTTTTTGTTTCCCTCCATAATTTTCTTTTTTTCCCCTTGTTTTCTGTGAGTTGTGTTTATGCCTTTTCGCGCAATGTTAATGTAGATTTGTGTTTTGCAAAGGATAGACATTGGCATGGTAAATCTACTGTGAGTTATTAAGGATTTTAGAGCGGTGACTTTATTATAGTGTACTATCAACAGTAGAAACTGAAGTAGATTAACAAGATATGTTGGTGTGCCATTGGAGTTAATGGTAGATAAGTGTTAAGAACCCAACAGAATCTGAGATTTCAGAGAGTGCTGAGAGACTAGAGAGGACAGAAAGTGAAAGTACGTATCTGTGATGGTAGATTGAATGACAAACAGAGAAAAGGAGAGAGTTATCCTTCCGAGGGTGTCCCCTTAAGTGAGATAGTGCTTAGTTCTCCAATATTAACAAATCAGAATGAAACCTCTTCTGTCCCCACCTTCGATTCAAGCTAACCACCTAACCTATTTTCAAAATACTCTTAACTAATTATGTAGCTACTATAAAAGCTTTGTCTCAACTCTTTTCATTCTTGTGTCTTGGGTCCTATAAAAATGAATGCTATATACACTTGATCCTGAATGACTTCACTCGGCAATGACATGTTTTTCAAACAGCCCTATTGAAAGCCGTGCTCTGTGCATTGGCTAATTCTTTCTGTTCTTTGTATAATTTTTCCTGATTCTGGATTGTTTTATGGTTTTCCGTTGTTTACTTTCCTTGATTTGCAAAATTGCATTCCAAAGTGATATTTTGGTTACCACTTACCAGGCACACATTATCAAGTTGCATGTCCAAGTTTGTTAATTCAACTTCTTGTGGTATATGATGTTTTGCCTTCATTTTAGCTTTTAAATTTAACATGGAAACCTTTTTTTATCAATTAGAAGAATGTTAATTAATATTTAAGTGCACCCACTCAAAAATGTTTTTCCTATTTTAATTACTTCTCTCGAAGTTCTGCAACGGTTTTATGTCCAAGTTTGGTGATAGTTTCTGTTGCCTGAAAAGTCTTTAATTTGTTATTGGATTTGATCAGATGGAATGCCTGAAAATGCTGCTGAGTTGTTTGAACGGGCATCACAAAGCATAAAAGTGAAACATTATACCGAGGCTCTTGATGATCTAAATGCTGCAATAGAAGCAGACCCAACCCTTTCCAAAGCATACCTTTTCAGAGCCTCTGTTCTTCGTCAGATATGCAGGTGTGGTTAATTTGCAAGAATTATACCTATCTACCTCCCTGTTTTTGAATCTCAGAGAACATTCCTTGTTAAATGCTGGGTTAAGGTTTTGGAATTATTATCAAAAAATATTAATGAAGCACATCTTATCTTGATTTCCATATTCTATTTCAAAAGGACTGGAGACACTGTCAAAAATGTCTGTTACTAAAGTGTATTTCCTCTTGAGCAATTCTTTATACACTACCCTTCCCCCTGGTGCATTCCTTCCTAAAGTTAACAGAGACATAAAAGGAACCTCTATTTTTGAAACTTCGTTTCAGAAATTGATCATCATATAATTCTTTCCTCTCCTCACCTCTCATCTCTCATCTTCCCATCATCCCAAGTCTCTCAAACTCCTAATTGGGAAGTTATATCATTCAGGTGCTTTTTGGCTAATGTAGATATGAGCAATCTGAGAGGAGCTACAAAAAGTTTCTGGAGTTAAAACCTGGAGATTCAGCTGCAGAAAAAGAGCTCAGTCAACTATTGCAGGCTCAAAGTGCCCTAGAAACAGCTCAGTCCCTCTATGATTCGGGCAACTTCTCAAAATCTTTGGAATACATTGATAAAGTTGTTCTTGTTTTTTCACCAGCTTGCACTAAGGTAACTCCTTTATGCTCTTCTAGTTCCATAAATATCTCGTGTTTTGTGTCTCTCTAGTTACACGATGTAGTCTTAAAAGTGAATGAATGTCTAAGCATTAGGTTTGAGCTGGTATTTGGTATGTGGAATCAACATTTTAACTCTATATGCATTATTTTCTGCAGGCTAAGCTTCTTAAAGTGAGAGTGTTGATATCTGACAAAGAGTATGAGGGTGCCATTGCTGAGTCTGGGTTTCTTCTCAAGGAAGATGAAAATAATTTAGAGGCATTGTTGTTACGTGGTCGTGCATATTACTATTTAGCCGATCATGATGTTGCGACAAGGTTTATCTTATGGAAATGATTTAAACTTGTATGGAATTTTAATATTTTTTTTGATATATTCTATCTTATATGTGAACATATATTCAGGCATTTCCAGAAAGGTCTCCGCCTAGATCCAGAGCACAGTGAACTGAAAAAAGCATATTTTGGATTGAAAAATCTACTCAAAAAGAGTAAAAGTGTAAGCCCTGATCTATCGTGTAAATTTCTTTTTACATTACATCTCAGGTCTATTTTTCTTTCTTTTCTCTTTTGCGTGTTGAAGATATTTTGTTGCCTTTTGATTTCCATGTGAAAGGCCGAAGATAATGCAAGTAAGGGTAAACTACGTGTCTCAGTGGAGGAATTCAAAGCTGCCCTTGCTGTTGACCCTAACCATCTTGCACACAATGTACATCTTCATCTTGGCTTATGTAAAGTGCTAGTCAAGCTTGGCAGAGGAAAAGATGCCTTGGACAGTTGTAGTGAAGCTCTTAAGATGAATGAGGAGCTTGTTGAAGCTCTTGTTCAGGTTCATTATAATCTTAAACATCATTGTGCATTTTGTGCTTGTTTTGACTTTTAGCCGTCTTTTTTTGGGATATAGTCTGCTAGCAATTTGTCTATCTTTTTTTATTGCTTTGTTGAGTGCAATGGGACAAATATGTAAATTGAAATAAGATGTACTGTAGTGTAGGTTGAACTTGGTACTTATTTTGATGTTATTCGTTGCAGAGAGGAGAAGCTAAACTCTTAATAGAGGATTGGGAGGGAGCTGTGGAGGATCTGAGATCAGCTGCTCAAAAATCTCCCCAGGTTTGTTATAAACGCTGCATTCATAAGTCATATAGCATGTTCCAGATCACTAATAAATTAGAATTTACTATGATTTTTGTGAGGAACAAATATTCAATGTTGAATTCCCTCCCTCTGGATTAGAAGTAGAGAATAAGAAATCCTTGAAGAAGATACAAAAAACCACACTCATCCTAGAAGTAAGCGTTTGATGGAGAGATTTTAACTAAACAACGCTAGTCCATGTCTATTCATATAGGTTAAAGAACTTTTAAGGTTTTTTTGTTGCTACATACGTTCCTCAACAGCACTGTACCAATATTCATTTTTTTTTAATGCCTTAACTCATAATTAGTTGTTAATTTCTTAAACTTTTTAAGTGTGGAATCCTTTGGTCTCTTAGTTGATTAATTAATATGATGCATTAATATATATTTTTTACACGCCAATAGTTATTTGTTGGCTCAAACCCGTTATTCTTTATTGGCATCTGTACGTGAACGAGAGGTTTAGAGATTCAAAATTGTCTCTAGTTGTATTAATTTTAAGCAGTAAAAAAATACTTTGACCTTTAAAGCTTCCCTTTTCTTCCTGTTTCGTGATATTTGCTTTCATAGGAAACATTTAGTATGCGAAATGTTTTTACTTTCTTAGGAATTTGATGTTGAAAATGTTAGTTTTTCACATTTGGTTTATCATCTTAAAAATAACATTACAAAGAAACATGGTTTCCCAAGAATTATTTTGTACAAATTTTCCACCAAATTGTTCCGATGGGTTAGTTGGAGATCTAACATTCCTAAATTTAAAAAAATGTTTTATTGCAGTAAAAATGTTATGTTGTCTTAGTTTGTTTAATTAATAATAAATTTTTTTTATTCTAAGTAACATTTATAAACATTTCCAAAAATATTTATAACCAACAAAACATATTTAATCATTCCTAAGAATTATGATTGTCAAGATCTATGATTCCAAGAACCTGATTCTTGTGATTTTTGGATATGAAAAAATTTATTTTTTATCAAACGTCCCCTTAGAGTTTACTTTTCATCATTGTCACTAAAAAGATTCTAGTTTTTGCATTATCGGTAAACTCAGGCCATATTTACATAGTAACTAAGGTTTTTGACTTGCTGTGAATTGAAAGCTTTCAAGTTTCGACACTTGTTTCAACGTGATAGCATGAGATTCGCTAATATTGTAATACTTGAACACCTTAATATTTTTGTATGTTAGTAATAGTTTATCTATATCTGCAGGATATGAATATCCGTGAAGCGGTAATGAGGGCTGAGAAAGCTTTAAAGATAAGCAAACGCAAGGATTACTACAAAATCTTGGGAATTTCCAAAACTGCTTCCGCTGCTGATATAAAGCGTGCCTACAAGAAACTTGCCTTACAATGGCACCCAGATAAGAATGTTGACAATAGGGAAGAAGCAGAGGCTAAATTCAGAGAAATTGCTGCTGCATATGAGGTCTATTATTATTATTTGGTTTACCTGACCTTTCTCCTACAGTGATTAATCAGGACGTGCCCGGTGATTGTTGGATGGGAAATGCTGCCAACACATTTCTTTAACACGTTTTGATATTAGGTGAAATTTAAGTGGGACCTATTAAATCTTGTCTTACTCCCAGTTTGGTGGAACTTCAACCAAATTCACCTAATAAGTGTGTTGAAAAGAGTGTGTAGTGTGTTACTGGCATTTCTCTTTACACAATCATATTTTCGGTGTTGTTGGGCATAATAATATGGATGTGAATATTTTGTTGAATAACTGATTGTTGCAATGTGTTTTAGGTTCTAAGTGATGAAGACAAACGTGTAAGATATGACAGGGGGGAGGACCTTGAAGAGAATGGAATGGGTGGTGGCGGGGGTGGTGGCGGCTTCAACCCTTTCGGTGGTGGGGGGCAGCAGTTTACCTTTACTTTTGATGGTGGCTTCCCTGGTGGTGGTGGCTTCGGTGGAGGCTTTCCTGGTGGTGGATTTGGAGGGGGTTTTCCTGGCGGGTATGAATTCCATTTTTGATTGGAAAAGCGCATTCCCTATATTTTTAATTTCCTGAACTGAAGGGACCACAGCAATTATATTTGACTAATCACTTGCTAACGGTTGTTGAGGTAAATACGTAGGCCGTCCCCGGATGCTTGTAAGATAAGAAACGTGCTTTAGAGAAAATTTTGCTTTATGAAGGAGTGATGGGGTTGGGTGTTAGTTAAGGAGTCACATTTTGATGTAGCACATTTCCGTTATGTAGTGATTGTCACTATGTTACGACTACTTTAAATTCCAGACAAACATAATACTATTTTTGGAATATTTGAATCAAATGAATTGTTCACAATTAACACCATGGTAATTTTCTTCAAGTCTATGTAGTTCCAATTGCGAGTAAAATTTTAAATTTATTTGTTACACCTGTTGCCCTGGCTCTACAATCTCTTCGCTATCAAATTCTCTCGTTAAAAAATGTACATTAGTTGAAATTGCCATTCTTTCTATGCTTCTCTTTCATTTATTCTCTTAATTTCGGGCATTATTCATTCTTTATATTTTTCTCTTTTTTTGTTTGTTTGTCCTTGTCTTATATTTGGACCTGTCACCTATGCAGGATGTATTATCATTTTAATGTTTATTGTTACTTTTATTTAAATTAAATTCATTTGAAATATTATAATAAGCATCTGAATACAAAATTGAAATGCGAGAATAAAAACGTTTGAATGAAAATGATGATGCGTTTTGACATTTTTTTTTCTGTAAGGATCATTATTATGGGACTTAAGTAGTTGTCTTAAGAGATATCAGTCATCTTATCTAAAGTTTGTATCAAATAGGCTTAAGGACTTTTTGCAAGAATTGCATTGTGAAATGATCTATATGATTCACTTATAGTTTTCTTTTGTGAGGGTTATTATCATATAAATTTTTTAAAAGATAAGGTGTTTCGTAGTGTCTATATCATGTCTAGTGTCGGGACTAATGTTGAAATTGGTGCATCATAGATTACGAGGGACATATCTAAAATCTTTATTATTGTCTGTATAGCTATGTAAGACGTGGTCAACATAACATAGCAACAAGACTTGGGGTTAGGCATTGCATTCCTGTGATTGTGGCTAACTCAACAACTTGGTGTGAACACAAAAATGCCCGCTTTTCTGTGTTACTTTGATTTGTGGTCTTCTTTTAAATGATAAGGGAAAAAAATTGTTAGTTCTACTGTATTATCTCATTTTGGCCAACAAAATTGTTAGAACCACATCCATTACTTTGGATTTGAAAAATTCAAAGGCCAACACAATTTGAATTTGATAGCCAAAATTTTCACCATTGTAATCCATGGTTAAACGTTACAAAGCTTGATTTTGTCTTTGCAGAAGCGTATGACCGATAGAACAAACATGTCTTTTAACAATAATAAGCAAATCGCTCCAAGTCTAAATTATGGATTTGAAAGAAAGAAAAAATCATTTATATTGAACCCAAAATTTTTTCAACTTGGTAGCAACAACAGCACACAAGATCTCCATCATCACCATCAATCAAGGAAAAAAATAAAACAAAAACAGGAAAAACAACCATCCTAGAACTTACATTCAGAAACAACAAACAACCCATGCAATAATCGAAACAACGAAGGTAACTGTAACACCTTCGACTGTCTTTCTATTCAAACTTACTGCACTCGAAGCATCAACTGATGTATCTGATGACCCTGATGGAGAATCAGCTGCCCGGACATTTTTCTCCGGCTTGGTCGGTGCTGGAGCCTCTGCTGGTGCAGCAGTTGGGGCCGACGACCCAAAAAGTGCCATAGGAAGAAGCACCTTATCGACCTGATACACTGCAAGCTGGTTATCACTGAAAATAGTGTTGGAAACAGTTGTGTCAACCACCCCGGTAGTCACATTCACTTGGTTCCCTGAGGTGGTGACATTTAGAGGGTACTCTCCGTCATCACTGTTGCCAGCTTGCGTGTGCAAGGGATTACTCGCGGTTTGAAACTGTGATACGGTGTAGAGAGTGGGGAGAATGTGGAACTGCACCAACTGCATTTGGTCTTGTGAGTTTATGGAGTTTAGTGTCCCTGCTTTTAGGCTTGAGAATGCATTATCTGTGGGTGCAAAGATGGTTAGGCCTTGGTTTGAGTTGTTGAGTTGTGAATTGACACGGTCAGCAACTTGTGTGGCTTTGAGAAGTTTGATGAAGGTTGTGAATTGGCCTGCCTTCTCTAGAACTTGGGTGATGTTGGTTGGTCCTGCTGGTGCTGGTGCTACTTGGGCTGAATTTTTTTGGATGAAGATGCTGAGGATGAGGGGGAGGAGGAAATGGAATAGCTTTGTTGCCATTTCTTTGAGGAGGCTAAGAAAGAGTAAGATATTTGTTACAAGTGGAAGGGAGGGGGTGCTGAGATATATATTGAGCAGAGGGTGAATGGGAATTTTATTAGTAAAAGTTAGGTGAAAGGTTGCAATTAGTATAAGGTGGCATGAGGCCCTCATGCAATCAATTTTCTTTCTAAAAGCATGATATTACAGGGGAGGGAGAATTGCTTCCCTTAGTTGGAGTTTTCTTAGATAAATGATCAGGTATTTCAAGATTATTAAGTATCTTAGTCCTAGCTAGTTTGTTCGTAATATGTACTTAAAATTTTCAATTTTATAAAAATTTGATTATATTTCATGTAGAGACTAATTAATAATTGTTTTTGCTTTCTTGGCTGGGATGAATGGATTTTTGATTGGAAAAGGGGTGATGATTTTGTTAGGGAAAGTTGTTTTGTTGAAGGGACCACGACAATAATATTGACTAATTTCTATCTCTTGCTAATGGTTGTTTAGCTAAGCACGTAATAAGCCATCCCCAGATGCTTGTAAGATAAGCAATGTGCTTTACAGAAATATTTGCTTCGTGCAGAAGTGATGATCTGGTGGGTGTTAGTTAAGGAGGCGCATTTTGATGCTATCACATTTCCTTTTAAGTGGTGGTTGTCACTACGTGATGAGATGGCTTTAAATTCCAGGCAACTGTAACAGTTTTTCACACATTTTAGTCCATTTAATTGATTCGCAGTTAACTCTATGGAAGTTTTAGTTAGTGCCGAGAGGTGAAGCTTACATATTTAGCTGCAACCGTCACTTGTCATATTTTAAATTCATCTACTATTAGCACCTCTACCTCTACAACTACAATGTGTTATCAAGCCCTTGCCGTAAGAAGTTGATTTGCCATTTATATAGGGAAAATGTAGTAGATACTCAAAAGAGAAAAAGAGATATAATTGAAAGGTGTAAGTAAATATGACGGGAGAAAAATAGAGTGAAATAATAGGTGTCATGGTTTTGTTTTGAACTGTTGGGTTTTCAAATGTAATTACTCATTGTATAAAAGTATGCACGCGCCACGTCTTTCATTAATTGTCCGAATTCTAGGTATTTTTCAGTTGATGTTACTTTGGATGTTGCAAATTACTATAAGTACTCTTGTAACAAAAAAAAAGCTTTATGTACTCTGTTTTTGTTGTACAATGGAAACTACTACTATGTTCATTCATTGAGAAATTGAAAAAAAGAATAAATATATAATTAAAAAATATAGCATTTTACGAATGAGAACTTAAAAGTTTTCTTTCCGATTTAGTATTTTACTATTTTTAACTATTAACTAATTAATGTTTTAATTTCATCGGTATTAAAATATCCTTTTTACTTTAAAGGTTTTATTTATTGTATTTTTTTCATTTATAATTTATGAAAACAGCTATAAAAATATCAGAGTGACAAAAGATTGTCGATATACTTGGGTATTAGTATAATTTTTGTCTTGCCAAAATTAAGCTAATAAGTAATAATAAAATTAATGTGAATTAATTTTACTAATAAATTTTTTATTACCAAGTTATCAGTTCAAAATTTCAACCTATTTTTCTTAATGTCTAATGTTCATTAGAAAATTTGCTAACCACTTTTTTATAAAAAAAATTTCTTAATCATATTTTTTCATTTATAAAAATTGAACTTGTTACTTTGCTTAAAGAACTCAAATTCAATTATACTCAAACTAATGATAAGTCAATTACTAATATAAGACTTTAATGGTTATGCATTGGTGTTATTAGACTCAACTTGGATTGGATGGTCCGACTGGTTGACTCGAGAACCAACCATTTAATTGGTTGAGAATACTTTCAACTTGATGCGACTCAGTTTAACTTATCAGGTTTGACTTAAAATAGGTTAGTAGGATTGGTCGACTTGACCGGGTTAATGCATTTTTTAATTTTTTATTTTAGCAATATGACATTCATGATTCTCATTTATTTGTTCGTCTCCTCCGTTCGTCACTCTCCTCTATTGCACGGTTCCAACCACACCATACAACACTTGTTGTTTCTCCTCTCTCGCAGTCATACACTTTGACAATGATTGTGTGACCTTACCGGTGTGGTACGTCCATCATCTCCTCATTGTACAATGACACAATCCTCAACATTTGTCATCGTTCATCATTTGTCTTCATTGTACAACGACATGTTCATCATTTACTCATCGCACGACAACACGATCTTACTTTAGTGCGTGAGTCGTTAACAACATTTTATTTTTTATTTTGTCTATTGCTTGCTGGTTGGACAGGGTGGAGGTTGCTTTGTTGCTACTTACTTGTGCATGAGTTTTTTCTTTTTTTAAATTTTGATTATTATGTTGCTGAATTGTTCTGATTCTGATTTGATGAGAGTGTTTATAATCTTGAAAATTTTAATGTTTTTGTTTATGAAAACTTTATAATATGTTTTTACCTGTTTATAATATATATTTTGAAACATAAATTTTACTTTTAGTCATTTATTTATAATTTTTAATATAGATCAAGTCGTGTGGGTCAATTAGAGACTTAATGGTTTGATCTTTGACCCACTAACCCAATACCTTGATTGAGTCGCCTACTAAGTCGAGTTTGATAACATTGTTATGCACTATCGATATAAAAAAGTTTTACATTGTTAGCCAATAAAAAACTTATGTTGGTATGACTTTTTAGTTATGATAAAAGTCAACAAATTTTATCACACATGCTAGTGTGTAATTGGTAATTGTAAAATTGTTTTACACTATCAATGTATATCTTTTTTTTTTCTTCTTCCCCTAACAGTGTAATGCATTTTTCATGTCTCAAATTGTTCTAAATATAAATTCATTGCACCAGAAGTCATATTATGCATCAATTATTTTGTCTTATCTTTTTTGTATACATAAAAGATATCTCCCAACTAATAGTTAAAAAAATTAATTGAAACAAATGTTAGCCAACAAGAAGGGGGAGGAGTTGAATTGTGGTTATCTTAAAGTTTGAATTTCTTTTATCAAATTGATGTTTAGAAGTTGATGTTTTTGAAGGTTTAAAAAGTTGATTCTACTTCTAAGCGATTTCTTTGTGAAATAACTTCTTAGAATTTTATGCTTCTGAGGTATTTGAAAATACTTTCTACTTATTTAGAAACTCAATATGATATGTTACAATCATGTACTAATAAATATGAGCAGCTTAATTTAAACATATATGAGAGTAAGTGTAAGAGAAATTTCACTCAGTGATTTATCTTGATTCACCCAACTTTAGGTTACATTTAATCTCCACACACATTGTGAGATTTTTCTATTATAATCAAGAACAACTACTTTGAGTGTCATTCTAAATAATACATCTTAGAAGATATAATACATCTAGTTTGATAAAGGTATTATTACAAATACTATGATGCATCTCCATATTCTAATAACAATATAGCTATTAAGATTGACCTAATAGTGAGGGATTTGAAATAATATACCTAATCCTAAAATTCTATGATCTAAAAAAAATTCTAATAACAATAGCTTGAATCTCTTTTTAATTTTTTTTTCTCGTCATCAACTTGAATATCTTTTTTATTTTTTTTCGTCATTAACTTGCAACCTTTATCCTAAAATTTTGTTATATTTCATAGCCTGTATATGGAGCATTAAACGTGTCTATATGATTTAATTTATTGTTCCAAAAAAGTGACCAAATTATGGTGAAATATAGTTTTATTATGAGAAAAAGACTATTAGAGATACTTAAATAAAACTTAGAGGACTAAATAAAATAAAATAAAAAAAGTTACAGGAGCAAATTGAAACCAACCTTGAATTTAGAGGATATAAAACTACTTTACCTATTTAAAATATTAGTTATTTTTTACTATCACCTAACCAATATCAAGACTTAACCAATAACCCAATAACAGTTTCTTTCAAAGTGAGTGATCATTGAAGCACTTCACGTAATTGAATGATTATCGTTAAACTTTATTCAATAGTAGTATAATGTATTTGAAAAAGTGTGTCGAAAAGCTTACTATCAGAAATTGTTTCAAGCTATAAATTCAAGTTAATTCTGAACCACTAGCAGCACAAACTGATTTTTTTTTTTTTTTTCATTTCAGATTTTTGGACTGTGCCAAACACAAGCTGGGGACTTTCTGCGCCAAAAAGTGTCAAGAGTGGATTTGGCTGAGAGAAAAGTAGCATAAGAACTGTATAAAAAATTTTATTTATGGAATGCTTCAATTACAATTACTTATACAAGGTGCAACCGTCCGGATAAGACATTTGGTTAAATCTTTTTATTTTTGGTTAATTTTTATTTTAATTAATTCTCTTCGTTCCTAGTACCGCTACTAATTTTTTATTGATTAACTAAAAATGAAATTCTTTTAACTAACTAAGAGAAAAAGGTTAGTTGAGACTTGGATTTGTGAAATTCAAGTAGCATGACACAAATTGGATTGGATGGACAATGATCAATATTGCCGATGGAAAAGAAAACATCATTTACATTTTACATTGAACCCAAAATTTGAACTTTGCAGTGTGCGGTCACAAAAAAGTACACGAGATCTCCACCATCATGCAAATTAATTGCAAACTCACAAAAGAATAAGAAAAACAAGAACAAAACGCAGGCCAAAAAGATGTCATCGTAAGACACACTAAATCCACAAACAAGAAACAACGACTGCCACGGCAAAGGTAACACCTTTAACTGTCTCCCCACTCAAACTCACCGCACTCGAAGCATCAACCGATGAATCCGACGACCCTGTCGGAGAATCAGCCGCGCGGACATTTTTCTCCGGCTTGGTCGGCGCCGGAGCCTCCGCCGGCGCAGATGCCGGCGCCGACGACCCAAAAATTGCCATGGGAAGAAGCACCTTATCAACCTGATACACCGCAAGCTGGTTATCACTGAAGATAGTGTTGGAAACTGTTGTGTCAACCACCCCAGTTGTGACATTCACTTGGTTCCCCGAAGTGGTGACATTTAGAGGGTACTCTCCGTCGTCACTGTTCCCAGCTTGTGTGTGCAAAGGGTTACTCGCGGTTTGGAACTGTGTTACGGTGTAGAGAGTGGGGAGAATGTGGAACTGCACCAACTGCATTTGGTCTTGTGAGTTTATGGAGTTTAGTGTCCCTGCTTTTAGGCTGGAGAATGCGTTATCCGTGGGAGCAAAGATTGTTAGGCCTTGGTTTGAGTTGTTGAGCTGTGAATTGATTCGGTCAGAAACTTGTGTGGCTTTGAGGAGCTTGATGAAGGTTGTGAATTGGCCTGCTTTCTCTAGGACTTGGGTTATGTTGGTGGGTCCTGATGGGGCTAGTGCTACTTGGGCTGAAGTTTTTTGGATGAAGAGGTTTAGGATGAGGAGAGGGAGGAAGTGGAAAAGTTTTGGTGCCATTGGTGTGTAGAAGATGGGAAGAGTAGGATTGGTGTGTGTGTATATATTATTGTGGGGGTGGATGGGAATTGGATTGGTAAAAGTTAGGTGAAAGGTTGTAATTGGTATAAGGTGGTAAGAGGCCCTCATGCAATCAAATTGTTTCTAAAGGCAAGACATTACAGGGAGGAAAGGGGAGGGATAAGAGAATTGCTTTGGGAGGCAGAAACAATGGCTGGCTAGTGGCTAGAGAGATTGACGTGGGATTGGAGTTCTAGTGCCATTACTTGTGGAATTTAATTTCAACAAATTAAGAGACTAATAGTATGTATGAATTCTTTTATAATCTTCATGGAAGATAAATGTTGTTTTGGGATGGTAATTATATATTACATGGAACACATTTTATAACTCTAATTTTTTACTTATAAACAAATGAAGTTACAACTTACTAGTATTAGAAACAAAATTAAGAGAAAAATTGTAACTTAATATATAGATATTTAAATTCTAATAAATAATTACGATTTTACACTTTTGTCCTGAATAAGACTCTCAATTTAGAGATTTTTTTGTTGTTGATAATTGTCATAAAGGAAAGCAGGAAGTGGGCTTGGGAGAGTCCATTTAGCGTCTTGATGGGCCTTTAGCGTGTAGTATTGTTTATGGATAGGGTGTTGTACTAAAAAGGCCAGAGCACGGGCTGGCGTGAATTGGAAATGCTGATGGCACGCATAACAAAGCAGGATGGGAAAAGATTGCGCAACACAAGTCACATTGAATGAATTATGAACGGTATCGTTGGTTCTTCGTTGTAGTAGTTGTAGACTAGAGTAGCTTGCAGGTATAGGAATTGGAATTGGCGCATGAATTGAAGGTTATCGTCGTCTCTCTCCCTCAATCGCCTTCAAAACTGCAAACTGATACACGATCAGATAAGATAAGAAGAGACCAAACAAAAAACAAAAAACAAAAGTAGTAACTAATTCTCAAACTGCAAATTGCAATCGTGGCCGTCCATTCCGTTGACCGATGAATATCAAAAGCGCACACACGATTCGCACTTCCATTTCCAATTCCCATTCCCATTCCCGTTGCCATCGCCAGCGCATATATCAAATCGAATAGCCGCAAACCCTTCGCTTCGTCTTCTCCGATCCGCGGTGGCAGAGGTTGCATTCGTGGACCTTACAAACCCTAACTCACTCAATTGCATTGCCATGTCATGATCCTGCACGCCTGAAGCCACACCATGATGAACACATCCAACGGCATGATGTCACCGTCGTCTTCATCGGCAACGGCACAGTCGCCTGGACTCAAGACCTATTTCAAAACCCCCGAGGGCCGCTATAAGCTTCAATACGAGAAAACTCACCCTTCTGGTCTTCTTCATTATGCCCATGGCAAAACCGTTACTCAGGTTTCTTACTTTAAACCTTTCTATCTTCTCCTTCTTCGTTGCCCATCCTACTTACTATTCTTCTTCTTCTTCTTCTTCTAATTATTGATTTTAGGGTTGTACACACTGTCTCTTTAAGGCTCATTATGTGCAATTTTCTTTTTATACATCGTCTTTGGATTCATTCCTAGGCTTTTCCTTTTTATTCATTACATTCTTTTCCGAGTTCCTATTTTCTCTTCTAAATTCAATCCTGGCGATGTTTTTTACGGGAATGTTGGCATTTTGGGGCGAGTTATTGACCTTGCCATTCAGTTCAGCATGTTGTTTTGTTTTGTCTTTTTAGCTTTTTTGTAGAACCAGTTTCGGGGAATTCTATAATGCTTTTCCTTTTGTTACTCTTTATTGAGTTAAAATGGAACTTGTCTTAGCATATGAGAACATTATTGGTTTGATTGGATGAGCAGGTAACCCTGGCACATCTAAAAGACAAGCCTGCGCCTTCTACCCCAACCGCATCTTCTTCAAGTTTCAGTGCCAGCAGTGGGGTACGCTCGGCAGCGGCTAGATTGTTGGGAGGAAGCAATGGAAGCCGGGCACTTAGTTTTGTGGGAGGCAATGGCAGCAGCAAGAGCAATGGAGGAACCAGTAGAATTGGTTCCATTGGTGCCTCGAGTACAAGTAGTTCAATGGCTAATCCAAATTTTGATGGGAAAGGAACGTACTTGATCTTCAATGTTGGGGATGCAATTTTCATTAGTGATTTGAATTCTCAAGACAAGGTATGTTATTGGTCCAATATTGATGGAATTTAAGAGTTTTGGACTTGTTTCATGAGAGGTTTCTTGTGTGTAGGATCCAATAAAGTCCATTCACTTCAGTAATTCAAATCCTGTGTGCCACGCATTTGATCAGGATGCCAAGGATGGGCATGATTTGCTCATTGGTTTGAACTCTGGCGATGGTAAGAAGTCTTTGCTGAAATTTAAATTTCCTTTTTGCAAGGAAAATTTAAGCTTTATAAATTTATTGTTCCTGTGTGTATTATTGTAGTCTACTCAGTGTCACTGAGACAGCAATTACAGGATGTTGGTAAAAAGCTTGTTGGAGCCCAGCATTACAACAAAGATGGTTCTGTCAATAACAGGTAAGATTTGATTATACCATCCCTTGTAACGTTTTAACTATGTGTTAACTCTTCTCAAAATTGTTGCATGACTTAATTTGCTAGAGCCCTTTTTCTTTGTGCAAAGAGTACCAGAAATTACAGTTTTTAATTTTGATTGCTATGTGTGCTGATACAGGGAGAGGGAGGGAGGGCGATTTATTCTCAAATATTGATTTTAACACAATCTTATAAGCAACAAGCATTTTTTATTTAGAGATTCCTGTGTGTTGATTGAACTTATGGTGTCAGTTTTAAGTAATAGATTATAAGAAACAAATAAGCTGTTAACATTATGTGCAGATGGTCCATATTTGATAATTTATATACTTTTGATTGCCCCTTTGTGATCAAAATTAATAAGTTATGGGTCTTGGTAGTTGCTAATGAGTAGTATTCTATAGACACTGGTTAAGGAACACTTAATGCACCCATTAAGTGCTTTCAATTACTTAAAAAAGTAAGTATTAAATAATTTGTATTATTAATATATAATAAATGCTTTCCTTTTCATTAAATACTTTCTAAATTTGTTTCCTTAACCAATTCCATAAGACCCACTCATTAGCATTTACTGTAGGTTATTTATTGTTCATTATATGATGGCTGCTGATGCCAATATTGCAGTTGCCTATTATGCCATGTTCATGCTAATTATCAGTTATCTGTCCTAGTGCTTCATAATTGAGCCCATTTCAAGTGTAGATGGTTGATTATGATTAAGTTATCAAATAACTGTTATGGTGGCATCATAAAGGTATAGTGTGGCATATTTGGACCCCTCCACCATTCGTCATCCATTATTTCCCATTGTATGGTGCTATCCACCATATCTGCCATGGCCATGGCGATTTGTGACATTTTTTGGGGTGTTTTTAATAGTTTTTCTAGATTTCAAATATTTCATATTTGTACTTTCTCTGTTAGTCTCTCGTCAGTGACGACAAAGAGGAAAACCTAGGGTTTCTCATCTTCTCTCTTGTGAGCCTCTTAACTCTTAAGCATTGGCCAAACAACTCTAGCATGCCTTCTCTGGCCACACCCTCACCGGCGACTTTAGCTTTGGCAAGCTTTTCTAGCGAAGTAATCCAGCGACCCATAACAGTCTTTTTTTCTTCTTCCTTCCTTTTCTTTCTTTTGTCCTGTTTGTTCTTCATTTCTTCAAATGTTCCTCATCTCCTTTTCTTTCTTTTATTTTTTCTCTCTTGTTCTGTGTGACTGTTCTTGTTCTTCATCCGATCATTTTTTTTGTGCTGTTTTTTCAAAATTTGGAATTTAGTTATGTGATTTTTAGAACTTCAGAATTATGTTCTGTCCTATGGTTCTGTTTTCTTTATTAAACCCATAATGTTGTTCCCTATTCTTTTTCACTTATGGGACAATGTCAAGCACCCAAAGTCAAAGTCATGCATCCTCAAACTCTTCTTAATTTATTTATGCTTTTTTAAAATTTTTATATGCGCACACACATATATATTAAATTTTGAACGCCATTGGCTGCCATGCCATCCTCACCCTTTGTTTATGTTGGATTTTTGGCTCACCACTGTAAGCTGTTATTTGTTATTGATAACTATTTCCTATGGATTCCTTTGGGAAAGTATTCTGAAAGCTAGGAAGCATATTATTTCAGTTTGTGAAAAGATGTGAATTCTTTTTTAGTTGGGATGTCTTGGTCATACTTGCCTTGACATGGTGATTTCTTTGTTATGTGAATGAATGTAACCATGATTCCATGACTTAGCTACCATGTCATTTAGTGTTGGTGTGGCTGGAAGCATGTTTGTCGAATGTTGGTTCTGTAGATGTGTATGTTTCACCTGTGATGTATAAATTGAAACACAATGGTTTAGCAAGCTTCTAAATTTTCTATGTTTTTTTTTTAAATTTGGGAATTCCATTGTCTGAACTTATTCATCTCTGTTTGTTCTGTAGATTTTGATCAAATTCAGAATTCAGAAAGAATTGTAAATTATAAATATTAACAACAATTATGCATTAGCATTTTTTTATGAAAATGATTATGCTTGTTGATGGCTTATTCGTTTTAGATTATGAGATCTCTTATGTGTAGGGATTCCAACGAAATCCAGCAGTTTGGTTGGCCCAAAAAAGCTCAGAATTGAGCCAAACGTGACCACATGCTGTTCCCAGTCAATGGAAAAATTAGTTTAATTGTTTGAAAAAATATTACTGCTTTGTCTCAAGAGTTTTAGAGTATTACTTTTACTGGGTAAAGTATGTGAATGTTGATATGTAGTTGACTTCAGTGGTTATAATTCATAGAGTTTAGTGGTAGAGAAGTTAAAAAGTGAATTTTCTGAATTGTTAATTGTTGCAAGAGTTGTCCAGTTTATATCCCAGAACTTTAATGTATTGGAATGTTATGTCAAAGACGCTGATTGGACCCTATCTTAATTGATGCATCTTGAAATGAGCAGTCGTTGTACTTGTATTGCTTGGGTGCCTGGAGGTGATGGTGCTTTCGTTGTTTCTCATGCCGATGGGAATTTGTACACATATGAAAAGGCAAGTCTCAATTATCGGGAGTCTTATTTTATGGTTCACTTGTGACGATCTTTTTTATAGCGATTTAAGCAGATATTTACCTTTTCTTTCACATTTCAGAACAAAGATGGTGCTGGTGATTCTTCTTTCCCAGTTGTAAAAGATCAAACTCAGTTTTCTGTTTCCCATGCACGTTACAGTAAGGTATTGAGTTTGATTGCCTTTTGATTTCCTGACAACTTATTGATATGCAAGATTTTACTCTCTTTTTTCCCCCTCTTTTGGCATTTCTATTTTAATTTCACTATTGTTAAATTCAGCTTTTATTGCATGTTATTGTAATGATTGCTTAGTTCTTGTAGAATTTTGCAGCTTTTGCACCCAACACTTGCTTGACTGAACAATTAATACAACCAAGGCATAGTTAGTGTAACACTTGCTTGACTACACAATTAATACATCCAAGGCATAATTAGTTTTTGGATGAAATGATGAATTCTACAGTTTGCATGTGGGGAGAATATTTTGTGTTATTATGTCCTTCATTTTTTTTATAACAAAATATTGATCTTTGCAGAGTAATCCAATAGCCAGATGGCATATATGTCAGGGTTCAATTAACAGTATTTCTTTCTCAATGGATGGGGCATACTTAGCAACTGTTGGACGTGATGGTATATTTTTTATCCAATTTTCTCCTCAGTACCCCCTTTGTTCTCTATTATAAGCAAAAAAAAAACTGATTTTACACATATTAATGAAATTAGTTATTTGCATTAAATTTCATCGATTTCATAATATTCTTAATTTGTTCTTGTTATAAATGTCAAAAGAAATAGTGTAACTGAAAGGTCATATATTAAAGGAGAGATACTTTAGGGAAAATATCATTAAATGAGACAAAAGTAGTTGAATGTTACTTATATTTAAGAACAAAATTAGTTGAATGTTACCTATATTTAAGAACAAAAGCTGTTTTTTTTCTTATAACAGAGAAAAGACAGAGTATGTGTTATTTCTATTTCTACTTCTTATTTCCATATCCTAGTAAGGATAACATGTCGATTTATTTCACTGCATTCAGGTTATTTGCGAGTGTTTGATTACGCAAAAGAACAACTTATATGTGGTGGGAAAAGTTATTATGGTGCTTTGTTATGTTGTGCTTGGAGGTTAGTCAAGTTTTATTCTAGTTAATTAATTAATTAAATTGGCATTTATGGATCTGTTTGCTATTTTCTAGTTTACCTCTTACTCTAGATTATGAAAAAAGTAATACTTATTTTACTCTCAAGCTTGTGATTCCTTTTTTTTTTTTAATTCATACTTTGACAATACAAATTTGTAATGAAAACTCTTTTAACAGCATGGATGGAAAATATATTTTGACGGGAGGGGAAGATGATTTAGTTCAAGTTTGGAGCATGGAAGATCGCAAGGTTGTGGCATGGGGTGAGGGACATAACTCATGGGTAAGTTGTATAGTAATTTTTAGTTGTGGAAAATTTTGCTACCATAGGACTGATTTAGTTTGTGTCAATGCTGTGATCAGGTCAGCGGAGTTGCTTTTGATCCATATTGGTCATCACCAAATTCAAATGATAATGGAGAGACCATTATGTATCGTTTTGGTTCTGTTGGTCAGGTACCCAAAAATAATATTTGTTATAAGTTTTACCTTTTCTGAGGAGCCTGTGGTTCTTTGCTTAAAATTGTCCACATGATTTTAACTTCTTTGCTGTAGTTGATATTTTTGACATAAAGTTGATGTACCTACTTGCTTAGTAAGTGGCTGATTGCCAGATTGTTTTGGTTTCAAATTAGTCCTGTCAATGCATTACGTTGTATGAGGAGGAGTTGTTGCCCTATAAGTCATATAATTAATTGCAGTACAATTAAGTTTATATTATAAGGAAAGTGATTGCAAATTTTAGATACAAATCCAATAATGTCATATCAATTTAGGAAGATGACAATTTCATGCTTGCTTGATTCAGAATTACTTGCAATCTGTTCTTTGGGATTTTGTAAATACCAATTTGCATTGGAATAATTTTTAGATTCATTCGATTTTCAAGTATTGGATATGGGACAATGGGATATTAACAACATGTTTAGTTAAAACTAATGTGAAAGCTGAAACAAAAGTATTTAATTTTGCTGTATATGTTGATATTTTCAAGTATTACACGATGGAGTTAGGCAATTCTAATTCTTCAAGTATAAATCATATATTGCAGAATTGGTAAGACAATGTATCTTTGTGTATGCGTGTGTTTTTTTTTTAAGAATGGTAGTATTATTTATGAACTTCACTCTTCCCAAGCAAAATGGAGATAGAGGAGCAGGACATGTTTATAATCAGAATATTTTGGCTTAAGTTTTTTATCTTTTTGTCTATGCATGTCTTTTGCCTTCCTCCAAGTTCCTTATATTTGCTCAAATTAGGGAACTAAAGAAATTTTGGTGATCAGGATACACAATTGCTTCTATGGGACTTGGAAATGGATGAGATTGTAGTGCCGTTGAGGCGATGTCCACCTGGTGGGTCTCCGACTTACAGTGCTGGGAGTCAGTCATCCCACTGGGACAATGTTGTCCCATTGGGTACCTTACAACCTGCTCCAAGTATGCGGGATGTTCCAAAAATATCACCATTGGTTGCCCATCGAGTGCATACTGAACCACTCTCTGGCTTGATATTTACCCAGGAATCTGTTCTTACTGCCTGTCGGGAGGGGCACATTAAAATCTGGACGAGGCCTGGCACAGCCGAGAGCCAATCAAGCACGTCTGAAAATTTGTTAGCCACCAGTCTCAAAGAAAAACCTCCACTTTCAAGCAAGATCAGCAATTCTAGCTACAAACAATGACAAGTCTTAATCTAAGGGAATTTTAAGAATTTTTTGTTTACATGGTTTGTTTATCTTTTATCCAGTTGTTTCCTAGTTTTAATATAATGTTTCAAGTAAAGATGAATCAACTGGTCTACTGTATATTCAGTTATTTACGGATGAGCATGCCATTGTTGGCACTGAGAGGATGGGAGGGAGAGTTCTCTCCGGCTGCCTGCTGTAATTATAAACGGCCGATATTAGGATGTCTGATTAGTGATTACAGGAATAATGTGAAATTGGTCCTTTGGAGATCGGTACTTTTGAAGTGCATACATACAAGGCATTATTTATTGTTGGCATTTCATTTTATGGCTTTACTTATTACTTTACCACGGAATTGCCGATAAGCTGGTATTGTTGAGATTATGTTAATATTCAAATTGACAAGCTGGTATTGTTGAGATTATGTTAATATTCAAATTGCCGTGCTTGTGAAGCTCAACATGTGATGATTTTATTCATTGACACTGGTGGGACTGTCAAAAGTTCTCTGACTAAACAAAAATGCAATGTTTTTGTTTTGGATCACTGGAATAGAGAGAAAAAGAAATATAAATGGAATAAATATAGAAATAGAAGAGAAATATTCAGGAAAATAAATCTTCATTATATGAGAAGAGCTAATAAATAAATATAATCAAAATATTAAATTTAACAGAAAAAAACTAAGAAATTTACTAAATTATTTTTAACGTAAAATTATTATTTTTATCATAAAATGCTCATTTTTATTTTATAAAAATAAAAGAACACTCCTTTCTCTAAATTGAATAAGCTCAATGGAGAAATGATTTTATAGATGGGATCTCTAGAAACAATTTTTTTATTAATCATATTTATATTTTTCTTTTTATTTCATTTTTTATTATTTTCATTAAAGTATAGTGTAATAGAGTTTGTTGAAGAAAGTTTTTTTTTTTCAATGTTAAAAATTTTGAAAAAAAAAATGAAAATCTTTCTTCAATGTTAAAAAATTTGGAAGAAAAAATGAAATTGAAGAGATTAAAATTTGTACTATGCTATTTTTGTCTTGTAATATGCTATTTTTGTCTTTCTTTTAATATTGAAGGATATGGACGGAAGAAAAAAAAATTTACCATTCAAATTCAATGATAATAAAAGTGAGCGGTCTAAATATGTAATTCGGTAGATTTGCGGATGATAGAATAACTAAATAAAAATTGTGCTTTCTCTCTTTATAAATCAAATAATGAAATTTTTATTTTTCTTGTGCTTCTTCATTCTTTTTCTCTTATTTTTCTGTTAAACTTATTTTTTTCTATTAACTAAATGCATGGCAAAAAAAAAAAAAGGAAAAGATTAAGACTAGAGGATTTAGACATTAAGCACAAAAGTAAGAACCTTCTTTTTCGCTCCTCATAAATCAAATAGATAGATTTTTTTTATTACTTTTGTTTGTCTTCTGGGTTTATCTCTCATTTTTTGTTGTTATAATTGTGTTATTTCTTTGAATTAAACAAGATTACTATGAAAATATAACTAAACAAGATTAATATGAAAATAAAAGATAAGAAAACATCTCTTCTAGTATTTAATTTTTAAATCATTTTTTAAAAAATAATTATCAAAATTTGAATAATTTTTAGAAAAAAAATTGATTGTTAAGTAGTGTAGAAGTATTGTAGAATTGAGAATGAAATCCAATATCTTTACAATTGCATAAAATTTAGGATGTGAGTAGATAACTATTTAACTTTTAATTTTATCCATGATTTTTTTTAATTAGTTTTCACTAAATTTACCTTTTAAATATTCTTTCTTACTTATTTGAACTATGATGACTTTGACAAGAGATAGAACTTTGGAGACCGTGTGATAAAAAATAAATATGTTTCATACTTAAAAATCTTAATTTAAAAAATTATTAAAATTTATTTGGTTGGTTATAAATATTTTTAAAAATATTTACTTATGTTTTTTTAGAATTAATATTTTAAATATTTGATTTTAATAGAACATTCACACATATATATATATTCTAAAAAAATGTTTTTTTGAAAAAAATAAATTCATTAGGTAAACTTTATTATTTAAATATTTTTATTTATCTTGTTTAAAATAAATTTTATTATTTTTAAAATAAGAAAAATATTAAAATATTTTTTTTAGCTTATACATTTTTGTGATCTTATGCATTATAAACTACAATGAAAAATCAAAATTACATGATTTTGTAGAAAACTTTTGAATTTGATGAATTTTAATTAAAGTAATATTTTTATGAAAATAAGAAAGAAAGTCATACATTTTATTTTTGAAAAGATAGAGATTATTGAGTTGTTATCAAGTGTACCAAGGGTATCACAATAATCAAAGAAGTAAATTTAAAATAATAATCACTTGCAATATTTCTTTTTTAAAAAGTTAGATATTATCAAATTATTTGATGATAAACAAATAAGGAAATTTTTTTTAAATAAATAGTTATCACTAACATGATTTTGAGAAATTTTTTTTAATTTTAACCAGATAACAATTAAATTGTTTTATAAAATTAAATTTATGTAAACGTTACTTGAATGTTGTAGTAATTATATTCTTAAACAATTTGTTATTTACATTACCAAAAATAAAAATAGAACATTACCATTTTTTTTCCTAATTAATACCTTGACAATTTTTTAAAGAATTAAAAAATAAAAATATTTCTAAGGTATAACACTTATTATGTTAAAAATTAAAGTAATATATCGTAAAAAAATTAAATTTAAAATCATAATAAGTATACTAAAAATATTTATTAATATTTCTCATTTTTAAATTTCATTATGTATGACATTGAATAAAAAAAATTGTTTCAAAATTTTATAATTGTAATGAATTAATAATTATATGGTGGTCCTTTCACATCATTTCCTCTCAATTTAGAGAAAGATAGATTCTCGCTTGGTTACATAAGAATAATTTTGTGAAAAATTTGACAAAAATAATACAAATAATAATATTTTTAAATAACATACCAAATATGTAAACTGACATTTTTAATTTCTATTCCTCAAAAACAAAAACTTGCTTTATAGCAAAAGCCCTTGGTGTCATAAAAAACATGCTGCTGCTTTTTCATGAAAAATACGCCCATTGGGTTCAATTCCTCATTCATGAAAAATACGATGGCCAACTAACTGAATTAACAAAGTTGCTGCTTGTTCGATGTCACAATTTGTAGTTCATTAAAAAAGTTTTATTGCTATCATTAATCTTTTCTGATTGTGTGGCATAGAAGACAACACATATAGATAAGACTTAAGAGAATGTTTTGAATTGAAACATGTATTCATTTCTTGAATCATCTTTGCAGTACAATATCCCTTTTGTTATCCTAAAATTGCAGCGCAAAACAACCCTTCTTTATCTTTTCACTTCACAGTTTCAAGCAGTCTCAACTCTCAAGGAATGGGATTCTCGTGTATTTTAGTAAAAAATTTACACTTTCTGTGCGAGACTTTTTTTTCTAAAGTAAACTAGTCCATACATAATATTTTTATGTAAAGCCAGACACCGCTAATACTAATAATATGAAAGTGGTATTATCCTACGTCATGTGTCTCTCACATTATTTTCATGATGTTGAGAATCAGTCTGAGGCAGTACCATCTGTTGGGAACCATGCTGTTGATTCAACTGACTAAGCCATCTTCTTCTCCACTTCAAAAACTCAGTAAGAATATAAGCTCCACACATTACAGCTCCAAACCCAGTAAATGTAGCAACTAGGATAGATAGCACAGCTTGCTTATTAAGCTGTCATGCCACAAATGTATCAAAATTATTTACATTATTAGGCATGGAAATTTTGACAATTTTTTTGTCAGTACATTTGAAAGGTGTTGGGAAATATGAGGATGGGAAACGGGAGATTTTCATTGATCGGTCACGAGCCAATCACACAAGTAAACAGAATACAAATTTTCCTTACCAGTGAATAGGAAAGACGTCCGGCAAGAACCACCATAACAAACTGGACAATTCCATAAGCCCAAACATGTTCTCTCCTTACTAATAATAAGTTTAGGGGAATCAGTGTAATAACAAAGGCAGAATTGAAATGTATGTAGTGTTGTCTAAAAGTAGAAAAAGTCCTACCCATTGTTGTGGATGTCATGCTTGCAAGTAGACCAAGTATACAAGAAAAAGGGAGAGAAATGACAACAGCACCAGATCCCATACTTGAAACCTGCCCAATGATATGATTAGGAATTCTAATACACCAAAGGAAACAATATCCAACAATATTAGGACTTACTAGTAGCTGCTCAAGAAAACAAAAGTATGCTAGGATGTTGATAATCACAAGAATGGGAACATTTTGCCAAGTCCTGTGAAAATTCTAGCAATCATCATTAAATAATCTAGAAATATTTTCAGATAAAGAAAAACCGTGGTTTCCCCTTGCCTGTATTGTTGACTTCTGCTCCTTGTCAAGTTTAGTGCTTGGCCATTTAGAACTCTTAAAAGAGTGACAGGTAGGTTCTGAACTTCCTGCTTGCACACATCACATGTTCTGTTGCCTTTAATGCTAAACCATTTAACTGCACACTCTTGATGCGCCAGTGCAAGTTCACCCTTGCAGCTACACTCCATTTTAAGGCTATCACCACCTTCTCCCAATTCAATCAAACAAATTCTGCAAACGGCTTCATCTTCAGGAATATCTTCTCCATCTTCATTTTCAACTGAACCAGAACATTCAGATGCACAAGATGGTTATTAATAGAACTTAATCTGAAGGCATAATTCCAAGTCAATAACTGATATTTTGAAATGTGGAAATTAGCAATGTTATCAAAGCCACATTAATTCTGAAAATGAGGTTTGTGCTGATTCAGCCTGAGACTTCGATAATCTAACTGTTGTGCTACTTAAGAAAAAAAAAACTTTAGTTTGATAATCTATTATGCAGAATAATGAAAAATTAAATCCTAATTCCTTATTAAGAAAGCATATTGTATTAAGTGGGTTAATTAGTCAATGACATGAGAATATTAGAAATTCTGATTCTCAACTTGAACTAAAGGTTTAAAGATCACAAAGCATGACTCGCGGGTAGTTAACTAGTTATGACGATTGTCAGTTTATAACCAACAAAATTCAGTAATTCACCCCATCTTCGAGCAGCTTATAGTTTTAGTCAAGACAAGAAATACATTGTTGAAAGTTTAAAGTTAATAGAACCTTCTTTGGGGTTCATGAAGACGTTGCTAGAATCTTTGATAGAACTTTATTACACAAGCAAGAAAAAGGAGGTTACCAGTATCGTCAGGTGGAGATTTCATAGATGTAGCATTACTCACAGCCAACCGTGGTGTGGTAGGAACTATACGAAACATGCCACCTACATATGTTTTTCCATCTTCTGAAAGCACGGGAACTGAACGAGAACGATGCATCGGTAGTTGTTGTCCTTTTTTCTGTTAAAGGAGGAAAGACTGAATCAGATGAAAGTGGGGGAAAAGTTATCATAGAGACATCAAAATGTCCAAATCAAACTATGATTTGAAAAGCCATAAAAGGACATAATAGCATTTGTTTTACAAGAGTAGCATACCAAACTAAGGTATTATAGATGTTAGTGTAACTTGCAGAAAGGGTTATAAGATTGAATGACCAGGAATTAAAGAATACATCTCATGAAGAACGAAAATTTTAGTGAATTGGAATATATGATTTTAAGCAAGAGCTTTATTTAGATCCACTGCCAATTTTTTCCACCAACATCCAATCGCTTTATCAAAATAGATGGATTTCTCAGGTAATTGTAATCATCGTCAAACTCCTCAATAATGTGTCAATACATTATTAGATGCTAGTGCAGAAAACAAAAGTTTTATCCAAATGGTAGATCAAAATTAAATAGTTTAGCAAATAGGTACCAAGTTTATGTATTTAAACTCTGACTATTATTATATAAAAGAATTTGATGCCGAACTTCTTGCAACAGATGATTAACAGAGACAAACGAATTGGCTGACTCAACTTTACCACAAGCTAAATGACATTATCATAGATATTAATATTTTAAAAGGTGTGCTGTGTGCAGGTGTTAATGCTGTGTGAGCTTGAGCTGTTGAGCATTAAATATCAACTATAAAAAAAATTATTTTATGATATACTTGACAGATTTGAACGGAAGAGATGTTAGGTGCATGTTGCATGAATTCTGAAATAGTAGGATAGTAAGCAGACTTTTGAAAGTGATGATGTGGAAGAAAACCAATGAAGGATGGTTAGCAGACTTTTGAAAGTGATGATGTGGAGGAAAACCAATGAAGGATGGTTAGCAGACTTTTGAAAGGGATGATGTAGAGGAAAACCAATGCTGAAATTACCATATCTATAATGACGATACAACCTGTGTTTTAATAGTTCAAATTTGGAGACCTAAGTGGCCTTCACAAACAAATATTTTGGAACACTAGTAATATGCATGTCAAGAAACAAGAAAAACCCTGATAGTGTGAGAGTGAAATCCATATTTCTAATAAAGCTAACATCTAGCAATCTGTGTATTTATTGTAAATAATACATGCGTTACACACAATTTCATCTGAAAAAATCTATACAAAGCATGGTTAGAAACAATCGAAGTTAAAAAAGAGCTTTTTCCACAATGATTTTTCACTTTGTTGTCAATGTCAATTTATTTTAAAATAAATATGATCATTACTAAGCAACCCATGATAAAAGTTGCAATGCCACTCACATGTGATGCTGGATAGGCAATGTTCCCTCCATGTTCAGACTGAGCAATCGGGGTTACAGGTAAGGATGATATTTTCTTCCCACTAGATGATAGTGTTCTTGAAATCACAGGCTTCTGCAGTGGCTCTGGGGGTGAACCTTCAAGTGTTGGGATGGAAGCCTCTTCTACATCTGAACTCATGTTGTGAAGTTTAAAACTGAGCTTGGTAATATGGGTTTTATTAGTTGATTTATTTTTTGTTGACGAGGATCCTAGGTATTCATTGGTTTGGCTTCTAAGAGATGGAATTAAAGGTTGGTTTGTTCTCAAAAAATCCTCTCTTGTTTCATCCAGCGTTCTTGTGGGTATCTCCAAGATAAGGTTTTTCCTTCTCCCATGTGCATGTCTACTAGGGAGTTCCTCTGTTATTTCGAATACACCCTATACATCAAAAAGCCAAAATGAACTTTCATAAAAAATAGAGGAAAAACTTTACTCAATACTCACCAAAATGCAAAATAATAAATCTAAAAGTTGTACACAAATTTCCCGCAACAAAGCATAGTTTCGCCTTTTTTTTTTAAGCTTGTGCATGGATATTTTAGTGTTTTACCAGTATATAAGAGATATGCTAAGAAAGTAGGCAGCAACGTGATGTGACTTCATGCAAGAATTTCTCTTACTCTTGTATTCTGAACCGATCGCTGCTTACGTGACAGAGGGCTATGTTGGCCGAACCATACAAGTCACTCCAATGAATTGCCATTCAATATAACTACACAAGTTTTTAACTAATCTAGTTTGGAACTCACTAAGATATAGCAACAGACACTATAAAATCAGGAAAATCAATATAAGATATAATATATGTGTTTGATGAGTAATTGGATGCTTTGTTAGCCAAATTCTCAACCTGAGCTAGAACTGAAATTCCTGTTACTTCCAATTGGAAAACTCTTAAGAATCAATAGCTGATTGGCTAAATGTGACAGCTTTGTGTTCATATATACAGCTAAAATTAGTTATAGAGAAGACCAAAGCAAAACTTCTAGTTAGAAAGAGTGAATATGATGATCATTGATCAGGGTATAAAGGTATGAATTGATAAAAAACTGAAACTACTCATGAGTTCTAGTCAAGAAACCAATGTTCTAAAAGTTTTGACACTAAACTTTTGAAAGAACATATATGATAATGAAAGTATTAACTTAGAGGCTAGAGCACAAAAACAAGGAAAACCAAAATATGCAAGTGAAGGAAGAGAGAATATAATAGTAAAATAGTACCTTTTGAATTAAATTATGAGGTCTACTAGAAGTGCTTTGGTCATTAATCTTAGGAAAGTCATGTGCTTGAGTTGCCATGTATGAAGGGGTTCAGCCAAAACTCGCAAAAGAGAAAAAAAGCATCACTAGTTTGAGCTGATAGTATTTTGCTGGAAAGAATGACGAAATCTTGCAGCGTTCATTGAAGCTGGAAAAAAGCAGAGGGGGAATTTGGAAAAGGAGAGAAGACAAGTGGCACAAAAAGCTTCAAGCAGACATGTTTCAGCTTTTCTGGTTTTTTAAGGTGTGGGACAAAAGTAAAAAGTTAAGTGATACTCTTGTTAACTAACTTCACTATTCTATAGCATTTCAAGCCGAAAAAAGAATAAATTTTTATGCGAATGGGAGAGAAAAGAGACATATAATTATTCTCAAGACCTCAACTCAATTTAATATTTTTTTGATAAATAGGTAACTAGAACTTTCATTTTTTATTGTTAATAGGAATTTAATGATATACATTGGAACAGAGTATAAGAGCTTATCATATTTATTTAAAAGAACACAAAGTTTAAGGTGGTAATATAATTTTTTCCGATTAAAAGTGGAACTTCATATTTTTTTACTATTATGAACTTAATTCCAATTTAACATAAAATTTAGTATAAGGATTAAAATAAAATTTTAAAAAATTATAGAAATTTTAAAAAAATTAATTCTAAATTTAAGAAACTAAAAATATATTTAAATTTGATAAATTTTTAGTATAAAATGACAATAATAAAAACTTATTGTCGCAGATCGCGACGCTTATTATTAAAGTAACTCTAACAAATATAATTAACTAATAGTATAATTTAATATTATCGGTACATAAAAGTTAGCTCCATCTATAAAAGACACAAAAGTTAGTACTACATATATTCCATTTTTATAAGAACGAGTAATCGTACAAAATACATTATGATTTGTTTCTTATAAATACGACTTAGGTAGTTTTTTTTTCCTATAATAAATCAAGTATCATTATTTTGAGTATGGAATTATGATTTTTTGTGGATAATAATATAGTTTTGTAAAGTTCATTTCCTGTAAATTTAATTTTCCATTTAATTAGTTTTGCTTATAGTTATAAAGTGTTTTTAGATTGTTATTTAATCATAAATTAACATAGAACAAATTTAGATATAATATTATTAATGTTATTAGTATTGTTATTTAATTAGGATTAGAATTTTATTGCAATAATATTATCTAAATAAAATCTTAATTCTGTTGATTGGATAACAACAAGAACAACACTTATAGTATTATATGTAAGTTTTATCCATTAACATATATGATAAGTTGTTATTTTTATTTTTATAATAATCGTTTTAAAAATTATATTTATCGAAATTTGTATTTAGTTGATAAAACTTTTATAATTTTTTTTGGTAAAGATAGGAAAGTTTATAAAGATGGTTGAGAATTGAACCTAGATACTCATATTTCTAACTACCTCAACATCTTCCTACCTAATTATTAGGTTAATCTTAGTCGTTTTGATAAAAAATTTATACTAATGATATATAGAAATTAAAATCTTAAAAAGAATAACATATGTGTAATTAACTCTTCGAGAATATTTAGTTTTACTCATTACTAAATAAGTAATGTCTTAAATCTACCTCACTGCTAACCTGAATTTAGGTAATTTGGTTTAATTTTGGGCCACATACAACAATTTGGTGGTGGTTTCAATAAAAAGAAACAATTTGGTACCTAACACTAACAGTGCGTCATTAAAAGTTGAGAAAGATTTTGTTAGTAGTAGCAGCGATGGAATGGTTCAAATCTTCATCGTTGATCTTGTTCACCATAGAAAATGCAGAATACCATTCAAATGGATATGATGGTGATGGTGTGTATAAAAATGGTTCTCAATTTTTTCATAAAATCCGTCAGACAAATGGATAATGGTTGCGGTGGCAGCGAGGTGCCGTGGTGGAGTCTGACACAATCACCAAACCACATAGGGTCATAGGGATTTTGCTCATGGACCAAATACCAATTTTTGACATTAAACATTTAAGTTAAATATTTATTTCATATTTGTTTAGTTTTAAGGCTAATTTGATGATGAGAAAGAAAGAAATTCACCAGAAGAACAAAAGAGACTAATCTGGTAGTATCAACTACTTTTAGGGATCAAAGATATTTTTTTAATCAATACAATATATATACAAAGAGAGAGAACGATTGGTATAGAGGTGGTGGAGATCTGATCAGCATGAGATAATAATGGATTATCAGGATAATAATAATAATAACAGAAATAAAAAATAATTATAATGATGATAATAAATGATAATTTTAATTATAATATTTTAATTTAATATTTGTTATTAGTTATTTTTGTATAAACATATACTTTTACTTGAATCACTCTTTTTTATATAGGATATCTCTTAACCTATTAAATTAGAGACTTATATCATTTATGATATTATATATAATTAGAGGTGCATAAGACTCGATTCGTCCATAGATCCAACCCAGTCCCTTATTAACGTGAATGGACTTATTGGGTCTTAAAATTGACAAGATATAATTTTAGGATTGGTTCAAGTTATACTTCAAGTTATTTTAATATATCTTTCATTCTTTTTAAATGTAAAAATTCTTAAAATAATTGTGTATTTATAATAAAATATTTTTAATAGATATTGAATTTCATTCTTTGTATAACATTATATTATATTTATAATATTATTATTTATTTCAAAATATATAATGTAAAATTAATATATCTTAATTTAAGTTTTATACATTTTTTATCTTATAATTTAATTGTACATACATTAATATACTAAGTTAAAACATCGAGTTAATCCAACTCGATCTTATTCTCACGTGACAAAATTTGAACATGAAATTTTCATTAAATAGTTTGTACCACCAAAAAAATATTATTTTATTTTTATTTTTAAATTATATGATAAATAACATGTTTTTATAATTATCTATTAATTTAAATTAATAAAATAAAATATTAAATAATTTTAATTTTTTTTAAAATTTATAAATTTGATCTGTACATTAATAACTTTAAATTATACAGTTAAATCGTTAAAATTTGATATAGAGTATGAACTATTAAATAAGATAAACAGATCCATTCTTATTATATAATAATAAAATATATCTGCGTGTAAAATATTATTATAATCATGAATTTAAATCACATATCATACGGCAGGATTTGAACACGGCATGACTTGTAAAATGTTCTTTATGCATGGCCCTGATTTCGTCCCTGCCTAAGGTTGATCTAATGATTTTTTTATAGAAGAGAAATAAGCTTAAAATGCTAAAATTACTCAAAGGTCGTAGTCCTGCACAAGAAAATCAGACCCTATTTTCAGATCACTCTATTGAAGATTTAGAATGAAACATCCTAATTGAATCTTTAATGTTCACTTCTACCGTACGCATTATTCATGCTGAAAGATGATTAAAATAAATGTACCAATTTATTTATAAAAGAGGGCTTTACTTGTTTTAAGAAAACGTTTGATAGGGAAAAAAGTTTTTGTTTTTTTTTTATGTTTAAGAATTATGATTCTCAAATTTATAAATTTTTTTATAAAAATATTTTTTTATTAAAATAAGTTCATTATATATATATATATACTTAAAATTATATTACAAATATGATATTAAACTATTTTTAAAAAGTTGAAAATTTATTAAAATTATTTAAATACATAATTTAATATAAAAAAGTAAAACTCTACATTATGATTAAGAAGAATACAAATATACTATTTTATTTTTATTCAAATAAAAAATAAAATAAATAAAATATTAACAAACATCATTAAAAGAGATAAATAAAAATATGGGAGGAGAGAGAGAAGGGAGGGGAGAGCAAGGGGGAGTGAGAGTGAGAAAAACAAATAATAAGAAAGATAAATAGAAGGAAAGAGACAAGGAAAAATGAGAGGGAGAGAGGAACAAAGAGAGAGGGAATGAGAGTGAGAAAGAAAAAAGGAGAGAAAGAGAAATAGAGTAGGAGATAGAGATATTTTTTGTTTTAAAAATGGATATTGTGTTTTTTTTTTTTTATATACATAAAACTTTTTCCATAATTCAAGAAAATTTGACTATCACCCCTCTTATGAGAATATTTTTGTGGGAAAGTGGGATAAAAATGGTTATCGAAAAACTATATTCATGGGAATCACTTTTTTTTTTTAATTAGCTATCAAACATGGAAAACCAATATTTATGCTTTAAGATTTTTAAAAATGTAAAAACATTTCACGTACCAAATATTCCTTAAGAGTAAGTCTTTATAAATTTATTTCACTCAATAACTCAAGTTTTATATTAAATTTCAATAATTTAATTTTTTAATTAATTTTTTTAAAAGCATTTGATACTTTGTTTGATTAGTTCAAATCAATGGACAATTATAAAAAGCCTTTTATACGATGATTTAAACTAATGAAACAAAACATCAAATAGTTCTCATTTTTTTTTTTTGAAATCTTGCAAACTTGATATATGTATTAAGAACTTTTAATTTAATAGTTAAATCATTAAAATTTGATATAAAACATGAGTTATTGAGTGAAATAAGTGTCGATAAACTTACTCTTGGAATAAGTTGATCCCTTCTCTAATTAAATAGGGATCCACTTACTTCAAGAATAAGTCTTGGTAAACTTACTCCACTCAATAATCTAATTTCTGCATCAATTTTCAATGATCTAATAAAAAAATTAAAAGTTTTTAATAAGAGAAGGGATCAACTTACTCAAAGAGTAAGTTTACCTACACTTATTCTACTGAATAACCTAATTTCTACATCACTTTTGCAAATTTTTAAAAAATTTAAAATTTATTTGATACTCTATTTGATTAATACAAATTAATAGATGATCATAAAAATATTTTATACATTAATTTAAATTAATGAAGTAGAACATCAAATAATTTTCAAATTTTTTGATATTTTATAAACTTAATTTAGACATTAAGAACTCTTAATTTAATGATTAGATTGTTGAAATTTGATGTAGAATATAAGTAATCGAGTAAAGTATAAGTAAACTTACTCTTCCAGTAAGTTGATCTTTTTTCTCTTATTAAGGAGAGATTCACTTACTCCAATAGTAAATCTTAGTAACCTTCCTGCACTCGATAATTCAAGTTTTACATTAAGTTTTATCGAATTAACCATTCAATTAAAAGTTCCTAATATATAGATCTGCACATTTTTTAAAATTTTGAAAATTATATTTGATTAATTCAAATTGATAGATACTC